CCTCCGGTCACAAGACTTGAAACACGGGAGGTTTACTTTGATTCTGAATTATTGTGCATTTAGTGGGAACCTAATATTCAGCAAATTGTCACGAAAGAGGGATAAACCTGATTAAGAATTAAATCTGCTGTGTTTCAAGTCTTGTGACCGGAGTCCAAAATGAACGCCTGCTAAGCCCCAAATGCCAGTAAAAGGTAGTCTTTGAAGGATAAATCAATACAGTTCACCCGCTGCACTGGCTGGTGCCTTTTTGAGGCGATGACGTTTGAATGCCTCGGTTATATCCAGCCTTTGGTCTTTGCCTGATCCCAGACTTTGTCCCTGTTGACTAATGCACACGCTCTCTGAGTGGGAGCCAGTCAAATTATGCCTCTTACACAGCATGTTAACTTTTCTTTAACTTCTGGTTAACTGACCTAATATTGGTTCTATTAACGTTCTTTCAAACAGACTCTTTCTGACAGGTAGAGGCGTTATAATGCTGCAGGTAATGGTACCTGACAGGTATACAGCAGAAAAACAAAGGTTCCGAGTACTGATGATGGGGGAGTTCTGGAGAGGTGGGCTGCTTAGCTCCAGGTCAGGACGTACAGAGGGAGAAAGGGCAGGAAGTGTCAGGAGGCTAATGAGATGGCTGCTGGAAAGGAGTCGTGGAGAACGAGAGGGACCTCCTTCCTTATCACACTGGGACCGGGGCAGAGGTCAGAGGCACACAACGTCCACACATATTTGCACACACATGCAGACAATACGCTCCGCATACACACACATGAACAAACACAGATGTGACATTCCTGGCTAACAGTTCACAGATGGTTAGATTCAGATTTTGTACGTTCAGATGCCGTCAGAGAATCAGATATGAGATGAATTAAAAAAGTTCTCACAAACTTTGACTAATCCTGGACATACTATACTACGGATATATACGGGGTTATACACCAATTTGTAGTTATTTAAAAGCTTAGATACTTCAAATATGGTAGACACTGAAGAATTCAACCTGACCACTTCTGGAAAATGTGCTGTGTGCATGACTTTTAGTCGGAGGAGGAGGATGTGCAATGGTTTATTGACTTTGTTTTATCAGTGTTTTATAAAGCTTGATCTTACTCGCTGTGTTGTAGCCCAGCTTCAAGTTATTTATAGTAGAAACACAATCAATAAAGCTTCATTCATTCTTAAAAGAGTACTTCACAGATTTAGCATTGCACTCCTTTAAACACTGTCAGACTCAATCAAAATATGCAGCAGAACCAGAGATAGTGTATTTTCTATTCAACACTTTCTTCCCCCTTGTCAAAACCTGGTGCCTATGTTACCCATAATGCAACTAACAGTTCGGTCAGAGACTAGCGTGTGTTATGCTAGTAGCAGCTAGGGATGGGTGAGTAGCAATTATTATTCAAATTTTTTAATTTTTTTCCCCCCTAAATTTGAATTTAATTGTTTAATATATTTCATGTGTTTGAGAAATAAAAATATGAAAATGATGAGGATGCATCGGCAGGCCCAGTCCGAGTCCCAGTCATCTAACCTGTACATGAAAGGTGCGACGGTGGCCGTGTTGGGGTGGCTGTGGTGCTGTTGAGTCTGAGGTAGCTGCACGCTGATGGTGTTGCTGGCTGTGCTCTGTGTAGAGCCTCCTCCTGCCACGGGGGAGGCGCTGGTCTTTCCCTCTGTGGAGGCCAGGCTGGAGGTAGAGCTGGAGTGTCTGCTGTCCCTGTCTCTGTCCAGGGGGCCGCGGTGCATGGCGAGACCCCCTCCTAGCCGCATGCTCCGAGGCCTCTCCACCGCCTCCTTCACTGAGGAAGCTTTCCCCCCGACTCCCGGGGCTTTGCCTCCTGGCTTTGGTATTCCGCTGTGTGCAGGGGTGGAACTCTCCTTTTTGGCCACTTTACCCCCCTTGGGAATGAAGCTGGTGATTTTAGAGGTCCTTTTGTTTGAGCTGTCTGTGTCTTCAGCAACAGGTGCTACTTCCTCCTTTAGCTCATCCCCCCTGAGCTCTGTCCGGTCGGGGGCCGAGATGCGTTTCCCCACCTCCTTCCCTTTCTCCTTCCCCTTCTCCTTGTCTTTCTCTGTGCTTTTGATAGAGCTCTTCTTGGCAGTCAAAGCTCTGCTGAAAGTGCGCTGGGCAATGCCCCTCAGGGCGATTTTGGGGCTGCTGGCGGTTATAGGGACAGTAGTACCTGCAGAGGGAGCTGCTCCGTAGGCCGTCCCGTTGCTGTCATCTTCCTCCAGGGGCTCGGTGTTGGAGCCAGTCTCGGCTCTCTCCACCTGCACCGCTCCGAGCTGCCTGGCTAGGGCGGCGTTGTCAGTCTGGGCCCCTGCTCCATTGGAGGATGTGGAAGATTTGGAGCTTCCTTTACTGTTGAAAAGCTTGAGCTTCTCCAGCATTGACTTCTGAGCGACAACCTTCGGAGGAGCTTCAGCCTTACAGGAGGCGTCCTTCTCCTGCTTGACGGACTGCATGGCAGACGCGGGGCTGCTGGTGGAGGAGGGAGAAGGGGAGATGTGCTTAGAACTTATCGACTTGCTCCTCCAGGGCTTGCTGCTGCTGTTTGGCTGGGGAATGGCCGTGGAAGAGGAGGTGGAGGACAACGAAGTTGGGGGAGGGTTCTGGGCGGAGGTAGCGGCGGGGATGCTGGTGGAGGAGCTGACGGTCACTGCACATAACGGAGCATGCTCAGTCATCACCGAAGGCTGTGAGGTCATGCCCTCTGAGGAATCTGCACCAGAAAAGAGACAGAGGATTAAATGACGAGATAGGGAGGTACAGTTGAGGAGGAACAGTTGAGCAGAGGAATGATCTGGGGGAGAGAAGATTATACGAGATGCTGAGTCTAGACTGACCCCACACAAAGTGGCCTTATAAGGACCTGGAGGTGGCCTGTATTGATGCAGCCAAACGTGCCATTACTTTCCTTCGGGCTAGCCACCAAAACTGTTAAAAACCCTTTAGCACTAACAATGAGAGGAGCCCATCACAAACTGTTTATAAAAACAATGAGCAGCAGGCACAAGTGCTTTAAAGTCCTGCCAAGCAGGCCAAGTGAAGCAGTGCTGCTGCACTTATAAGGCTTGGACTTATATGGACTGCTTTTGGTCAGCGTCCCTCTGCTTTACAAAGAAACATTGTCTGGCTACATCTGGTTACATGTACTCAGTGCCTTGTAAATTAGATTCATAAACGGTCTAAAACAGTACGGTTTAACTGAACTAAATAGAAATACAAAGCTTTTATTGCAGTGCAAACATGCTCCTGTAAACCAGTTTCAATCTATGAGCCCAAAAGCTAATTGTCTGGATAAATCTGCGACAAGTGACTCAGCAGCATCCCAACGGGCAAACTTACCAAGAGCTGAAGGAGCGAGACAAGAGCTGAAAATCCTGGCATAAGTCACTGCTCTTACTAAGAGAACTACAGTATCCTGAGAGCTGCTGAGGTTGTCAGTGTGAATGCAGAGGGGTGCTACTAGCAGCACAGATTTCAGACCAGTAACATTTGAATATTCAAACACCAACGGCCAGTGAGAGAGAGGGCCTGTGCAGGGAGCACTGGGAGGAATTAATCACAACAGTTCCATTACAACACCCCCCCCCCCCCCCCACACACACACACACAGAGACTTATATTTATTCCAAGTCACTGCTGCTGCTGTGTTGTGCCGTCTCATACAACTGTAGTCACCTTGGACCTATGGAAATTTAAGTTCCAAATACACTGCATGAGCAGAGAATGAAGTCGATGTCCCTATGTGTGTGTTGTAATTCGAAATTGCACTAAAAGGCGCGTGGTGCATGTTCATGCATGTGAGCGTGCCCCACTGGCTAACTCACACCTGCCGGTCTGCACTGCGCTCATAGAAGTAGGCAGGTAAGGCATTAGCATAAAGACAAATGATACTCAATTGTTGACTTTAGAATTCTTCAATCAAGATGAATAAGATAAGATAGAACTCAAAAATTATGCGGGTGCTAGATATTCCTTAAAACTAGACATAACGCCAACATAAGAATAAAAAAAACAAGAGTAAAAAAAAAAAAAATCACATAACAACAGAGTATTAAATATAAACTGTATAAAAAGTACTACCACCAGTGCCAAATAGAATAACAATAACAGTAAGATAAACTTCGTAAAATGAGTGCACTAAAATAGAAAAGTAATATTGCGCATGATATTAAAAGTAATATTCTCAATGTTATTGACAAAATGGTAAAGTAATAAACTCTCACAGTGCTCATTTGGTTATGAGTTAAGTTCCCTTTAATTCACACCAGCTACATTAATTCCATATTCATATGTTATTCATGTGGTCTCATAAAGTCCCCATTTACGCAGAATATCAAACACTAAACCCGCTTGTTTACCCCTTTTTCATCTGGCTCTCCACTCTATTTCATTGTTACAGCACCTTTCATGTCCTAATTGGAAATAGGCACTCACTCGCTGGCTCTCCCTTCTCCCTCTGTTTAGCATTTAGTGAGAGCAGCCTGAAACATTGCAGCCATTAGGAAGTGATTAGAGCCCAATTAGCCGTGCTAGCAGTTAGCAATCGGAAAAGTGGGTCAGGTTGCTAATAGCTGGCGTCCTATTGGAGGCGGCTGAATGAGAGCGGGACCTGCTCTAGAGCAGGCAGCAGAGAGAATAAGGGGACTGCAGGTTTGGGATGAGTAAAGCTTTGATGTGGGACAGCGTGACGGTCTGTGCTGTCCGTGAATGGGGTGAGCTTGGATTTTTTTTGGGGTCAGAAAGGAACAGAAAAAGAAAGGCAGGACATGGAGAGGCCCTGGACCCTACAGGGACAGCTGGTCATTGTCATGACTGCACCCGGTGACCGGGAGTGACACGCTCCAGTTGGGTTGCTACGGGTGAGGGCAAGTGGTCAATCTTCAACGTGTTGGGTCAGAAGTGACACTAGACGGATGGACCTGGACCCTGTTGCATCATAAACCCGAGGTTTCCAGAGATGGTTTAACACTTTAGGGGCTTCACAAATAAAAAGGAATGCCAAAGTCAGATTAAGGCGCACACATTGAGCCTGCTATTTTGACATTTAATGAAGTGGCCACAAGGTGGAGTAGATTACATTTTTGGGGAAACAAAGTGCTGAATGCATCTTCTTTTTAAGCAAGCGTAAACTCAAATTCACATTTTAAGATAAAAAAAAAAAACACCCTCACAATCTATAACAACAACCACAATCAAATGAAAAAAAATCTCTCGTAAATATTCTGATCACAAATTATCACTATGGCTCTTTTTTACAGCTGCATTTTGAGAAACAGGCTTTTAAACATCAGCACAAAATGCACTTGAGGAAGCACTTTTTCTTCAGAAATAAACACAGAAGAGTCTTAACGTGACCAAAGAATAGGACATTGACCTAATGACCCGTCCTGTGCAGCCTTGGGCCAAAATCCTGGAATTAATCAGCAAATTGCCCCTCTTTCACAGTGCTGGTCGAGCTGTCTGCTTGAGGAAACATGTTGAAATAATTTCAGTGTTTACTACTCAACTGCTTAATTATAGCAGTGAATACAGAATAAAATCGAGAGCAGAAAATGACAGCGGTGGAGTGCCCAAAGGGGAAAGGATCACAGACCACCACTCAACTTCCTGTGTGCCAGAAAAACCTGTCTCACCCTCTCCGAAGCTGTCTCAGGCTCTGTCTACTCCTTTACAGAGACTCCTGATAACATCAAGGCATTTTGGGAAATGAGCCGAAGTGGACCCGAAACTCGTTTCATGGATCGTCACACTCGTGTGTCTGTGCAAGTGCTCCTTTGAGTTAATGCCTGTCTACAGCCGAGGAAAACCGTGTAATTCCACACAAGTGTCAACACTCTTCTCTGTGTTTGTATATGTGTGTGTGTGTGTGTGTGTGTGTTCACATGTCTGTGCACGCATGTCAAGTTTAGGAGAGAGGGGGATGTTTGCTCTGCTCAGCGACTTCAAACGCTTTAACCGCCGGGACCGGTTACCAGAGCATATATACAATGCACATAAAAAGACGAGCAGTAAACGCATTAGATGTAGCGTCAGCTGACACTGTTTAGACACCACAAGCACTCCAACCCCTGTCATGGTCACAAGACATTAAGCTTAACCTTGTCAGTTGGTCAGGGACCAACATTGCTGACCTGAAAATTGGTCGGGTTTATTTCATTACCTGACAGCTTCATAGGCATTTCATTTGCAAAATCTACACAAACTACATCAGACTGGCACAAAGTTTGAGGCTGCAGGTGTATGCTTACTCATCACGTTCTGATTTCAGAAGCCTTCACTCTCTCGCTCTCTCTCCCTCCTCAGTCATTGTGCTCCAAAAAGTGAGAGGGACAGCCGGCTTTTGTGCGGAGACTGACACTTTTTAAAGTTCCTCCACATGAATACACTCAAACAGTGACGCTACGGCTCATCAGAAGGCTATTCATTCGGCAAAGGCACCGGCCATACAGACACGCAAACACACACAGAAACACATGGACAGCAGAAAGCGTGCACATACACGAACACACAGCCACAGGTGCCTCCCCCCTGCTCTCTCTGCTCTGTGTCACTTGGTGGACACCCAGACGCTGTCACCTTGTGTTGACGCTGTCACCTTGTGTTAACGCAGAGCAGAAGAGAAGATTCAGGTCTGTTTCTTTGCTGTACAGCCGCGCAGTAACGCGACTCCATTCTGGTGTCAGGGCCATTGACACAGAGCAGATCTGGCCTCACAATAGAAGCTGCAGGTGCCTCTCTGACCATCTGAACCTGCAGCAACACTGTCTCACAACATGCATGTACGATTATATAATGTGTAGCAGATAAGTGCACAACATGCATTTTTGAGGCAAAAACTAAACTGGAATACTAGACTGACACTGTCAGATTTTTAACGATACCTTGGTAACAAAAGGAAATTCTAAATCAGGGTCAGTTTCACACCATTGTAGCAAGAAGTTGACTACTAGCTGATCAATATCCTTTCAACCTCATTACTTTAACCTAATTCTTCACAAAGAGTTCAGGTCAACTGACTTGACATCCTCAAACATGCAGAAAATTCCAGGAACTATAACAACAACACTGACTAAATCAGCTGCAATACTTTTGCAAAGCTCAAAGTCTACATCTGAAACTATAAGCTGCAGAACTAGCTCAAGGCCGTCTACAAGGGCGAGCTGACAAACCTCATAGGTGCCGCAGACGTCCATGGAAAAGATAGGAGGAGATGGACAGGAGAGGAGAGAAGAGTCCCAAACCATGGCCGGCCATTCAGAAAGTGTAGGAGGAGGAGGAGGAGGGTGGCGGTATGGCAGGGGGGAGGGATTTGGCAGCATGTCAACAACAAGGCAAGAAGGAGGGGGTGTCGACAAGAGATTGTCATACTTCCTGCTGCCAATCATATGGTCTGCGGCTCCCAAACACAAACATATAAACACACACATACACAGTCACTCACACACACATGGTATGGTATATTTACCATCTCTAAGTTGATCTGATTTCTAGATGAGCTTTGGTCCTTTCTTGGTAAACTTTGCTGACTCACTAGTCACGCACTCACCTGGTGATAAGCGCAAGTGACACCTCTTAACATTAATGCCGCTACTACTACTGCTATCACATACTGCTACTACTGCTACACGTACCACTATTACTTTAATATTAAAAGTTCTCTACACAATATTCAAAGCAATAATATTGCAGCAATAACTATTTGCAATGAATAAAGTCCCTGTATCTCCGTTTGTGTTGTAATCCGAGCTCCTCTGTGCTTTCTTTACACAGCCAGACCGGCTGCATGTGTCTTTTAGTGCATGTGAATGTGCCAAAGCGGCGAGCTCATGTGGCGGATACAGCTGATAACTCTGTCGCCCACCCTCTGGTTTCCCTTTGGGGAAACAAACACTGTTAGCACTGTTGTCGCTATTTGCATTGTTAGTGCTGCTAGCTGTATTGAGCACCCTTAAAGGAGCCCTTCAGCTTCCTGGAAAATTCGCTTATTTGATTTAAAGCCAGGGTTAGATTTATACGATTGATATCACACTCTCATTTCTGTACCATCAATCTGAACCTACAGCCGGCAGCCAGTAAGTTTAATTTAGCACAAAGCAGCCTGGCAACCACAAGGTGACAGGCTCAAGGAGGTCACTGCCCGGGCCATAAGAATACAAGCGTACAGCCGTCCGGTACAACCTGTACTTTATTTTTCATTTTTGTATGGATCAAACAAACAAAATACAACGTGTTGTTCCCAGTTTTTATGCTAAGCTCAGCTAACTGGTGGCTAGCACACAGACATGAGAGTAGTTTCGATCTTCCCATCTCGCTCTCTGCCAGAAAGTGAACTTCCCAAAATGTCGTACTATTCCTTTAACATGACCACTGTTCATAAACCCACACATATTATGCACAAACGCACAGAAACACAACACTGTCCCCTTGAAACTCCCCCATCTCCAATGGAGCCGCACATCAGAATAAGTGTCCCACAGTGCTGTTCACAGTGTTCCCCAGTTACTTTGTCAATTTGTCTTTAAACACGGACAACTGATTCTCTCTCTCTCTCTCTCACACTCACACACACACACACACACACACACACACACGTTCCCTCTATGTCTCTCTCTCTCTAGGCGGTCAGAATTCTTTGTCTAATGCAGGGTAATGAGTTTAGACTGTGAACACTAACACAGTCTATATAAAGCCTTGGCCTTCTGAGTTGTGACAACACCGCTCTAACTAAATATACTGCCAAACACACTCACAAGTTTGAATGCTGCAGAACTGCAGCATTCAAACTCGCGCTGCCCACTGGGCAGCACGAGTTAAACTGGGTCAGAGGAGTTTAAAATAAACGTGTGAGATTACATTTCTGTCTGAGATTAAATATCTGGTTCAGTCTTTATAAGTTTAAGGTACAAGCCTCATGGGTACCAAACAAAGACCATCTTTGATGGGATCCTGCAACAGCAAATTGGACCACGGGCTCAAAAGGTAAGAAATGGGGAAGCCAATGTCCCCTTCCCCATTTCCTACCTCATTGATTCCTGTTTCACACAACAGGAAGAGGGCGCTGTTCCTCAACACTAAAGGTTTCAGAATTTCTAGTGGCAGCAGAGTGAAACATTCTCTTATCATTATTGGTAAACACAAAGAAAACAATGAAATAGTAAAGAGATGAAGAAACTTAAAGTGACATGATTTATGAGAAATGAAAAAAAAACGTTTGCATGAGAACAATCGTCAGCACAATGAATCTCTTTGGTTTGTAGTAACTACAACAAAGTCTCACAAGTAATTGAAGAAAAAAACAACAACGATGAATTGATGTTTTAACATGTTTGATGCCATCTTTAAGCAAAATCTAAAACTCAAAAACACAAGCTAAATGCTGTAAACGGTTCAGATGGGATCTATCCACACCGACAGTAACCCTCTCACCCTGTGAGGATAAACAAAGTCTGAGCACAGCCGTCGAATGGAGGTCAAAATAACATCGAAAGACATTATCCAATAAATCACAGCTTGTCACCTCACCTTAAAACGGTGACAATGTCCTTAAAACAGTAACAAAACACAGGTCCAAAGGCAGACATGTTTCCTTACTTACATTGTCCAGAACAGTCACTGAACTGCAACAACTTGTTATACGAACTGAGAACGAAACGCTCTTTCGTTAACTGAATTGACCTGAAAAATCAAAAGGAGGAGTTTGCTCTTGAAAGGACACAGTTGTTTCGATGCAGCATCGCATGCTGAGCATTACTTTCTGGCCCGGTGTTTAATACTTTCCCTTGGTCTAAATGCAATAAGCAAACTTACACTTTCTGCTAACCAAAGGCACCCAGAGGAGTAGATTCACAATTCACCTTAAATCTGCGAGGTTTCTCTTTTCTCACGTCCTTACCTTTGTTCAGGTGTGAGTTGGCTTTGGTCTTGTCACTGAAGCCCTGGCTGCGTCTGTTCCCAGCAGCACTGACCGAGCCTCTGGGAGGGATGTCACCGCCGGCAGTGGACACCCTCGCTGAGGGGCCAGGAAGTCTGATGGAGAGAGAGAAGCAATGTAGAAAGAATATATTCGATGATATATTCGATGTAAAGCCTTACACAGTGAAGGAACTCTTTCGTTTAGTTGCAGGTTTACAACACATTTTGCTGGGACAAAGCCTACAGCCTCTGAATTCAAACAGGAGGGTATCACTTGAGTAGAACTGAGAAGACGGGGGCCGTCAAGATTTTCTACAGCAAGTGAACAGGGCAGAGCAGCACAAGGGTGTTCCTCATGTTACTGTAGCCTATAAGCACAATGTGCCATCTAAAATGTACAACACGACGCTAACACCAGCTATAACATCGGATATTTCAGGCAGAGGCAACTGCTAATGAAGAATTCATTTCAATGGCTGTTTGTCTAAGCACTAAGTCACTATTGTTTCTTATCATTAAGTTATTTATGATCCGTTTAAAGGATATGAGCAGCCTGCCGGAAATAATGGGCATGTTTATTCATCACTTGTTTTCCAAGTTGTGAATTTGCAGCTTGTGACCTCAGTCGATGCCGAAGGAAGTTGATGTACTTACATTCACTATATAAACATTTTTTTTTTAACCTTCTTTATTGATTTCCGAGGGAAGAGTTCACCTCTTGATCCCTGGTTGGGCTGCAAGGTCGAGTCTACCTCAAATCGATGACTAAACTAAACAATCAGCCTGCTGCCTAGATCTTTGACAACTTTCTTTAGGCGTTTAGCTAATTTAGACTCTTTAGATACATTCTTATGCCTGGCTCATATTTAGTGGCTTGGCTTAGAACACAGGTGTCAAACTCAAGGCCCGCGGGCCGAATCCGGCCCACCGCGTCATTTTATGTGGCCCCGCGAATCCGCCAGCAAAAAAAAAAAAAAGTTACAAAAAATAAAAAATAAATTTTTTTTTTTTTTTTTTTAATTTTGGAAAAGAAATTTTAAGTTAGACTTGGAAATAAAAGTATCCCCATGGTCGAAATTATGAGATAGAAAGTTGAAATTCTGAGATAGCATGTTGTCTGTGTACCGACATTAAAACTATCACAACAGGTGGACAGGAGAGGGAACAGCCCGTAAAGCGGTTTTCCAACAAGTGATTGAGTTGAAAAAGATCGACAAATAATCCCAAAATGTCGACGAAGAGAACAATTGATGCAGAGGGAAGAAGATGTAATTTAAGATGGGAAAGCGAATACATGTTTGTGCTTCAAGGAGAAAAACGGGTCTGTCTTCTGTGTTATGAGGCAGTGTTGGTAATGAAGGATACAATTCACGTCGGCATTTTGACACCAAACACGGAGCTAAATTTAACCTCCAAGAAAAACATCAAATTGTCCGAGAATTAAAAGGCAGACTGCAATCACAGCAGAATATATTTACAAAAGCTACAGCCCAGTGCATGCTAAAGGTATGTGAGCAGGTGAGCTCCGACCAGATACAGACTTTTACAAATGTCAGTTTGTGAAGAAACACCATCGCAGACCGAGTTCAGGAACTAGCAGCAATCTAACAACACAGCTAGCCGAAGAGACGAGCAGGTACTCGTCTTCTTCATTAGCTGTTGATGAAAGCACAGACAACATGGACACAGAGCATCTATCCATGTTTATAAGACCTGACTCTCAGTGAGGAGCTCTTGGATGTAGCTGCCATGCACGGGACGACGACGACAGGGACATTAGTGATGCAGAGAGGTGACAAAAATAGCTTTGAACAAAGTCAATGTAATAACTTGTGTTTGATGATTGTTATTTTCTTTAAAAGTTTGATCTTTGATAGAGTAATGTGGGTTTCTTAACCCTAAATTAAAATGATTTATGTTAAAAAAATATCATTTTACATTTATATAACTGCATATACAATATTTTTACACTTGAATAAACAATAATCAAATGCAGAGAGTTAGTTAACAATATGTTAGGAGGAGTTACAGTTATACAGTCTTACAGTTACAACCGGCCCTTTGAGGGAAACCATGATGCTGATGTGGCCCGGAGTTAAAAATGAGTTTGACACCCCTGGCTTAGAAGATACACACAAGTTTAATAAATGTAAACTCAGCTATTCTTTGGTTTATCTTGCAGCGCTTGGCTCCGCCTTCCTATATTACACCTACAGTAATCTAATGGAGACAGATGAGCTCACGGCAGCGTGGACGTTTCCGAGTGGGTTGGACGGGCTGACGGATCCCAGGGGAGGTGTGAGCTCAACAGCCTCAGATTACACGTCCTGCTCCTTTATTTCCCCGCATGGATTAGACAGGAAATACTGGCCTTGGATAAGCCTTGGTGAAATTTATGACACCTTGATTCCATATTGTGCGTCGATCTGTTGCCTTTGGTGAGGTCTGTGAGCTGAGCAGGCCGTGGCACAGACGGCTAATGAAATGCTAATTCACAGGCCAGCGACATCATCATCATCAACCTGGGACTGTGAGGCAGATGCTGATAAGCAGATTACAGCTCTCTCTCTCTCAGCTCTTGTATACATTGTAAAAACTCTCATTTCCGGCATGCCATTCACTTAAACTGGCCCTTATTTATCTGGCCATTGCAAGGTAATGGGTTTTACCACATTATTTAGTCAAGAGCTTCCTAAGATCATTTGACTTTGAATTGTGGCAGGGCCAGTCAGTCTACTGCCTTCCCCCTTTGGATATGGCCGTGTATAAAAGAAATGATCTATGTAATGACATGTAACAAAAAAAAATGGGTCAAAGCTAACATGAACGCATCTCTACAAGAGTTGCCTGTCAATTTATATTCTCTAAAGTCAAATACAGGAAAAAGTGCAAAAGAAAAAAGGGAAAGAAAAGGCTTCGGTTTAGCAAATGAAAACTTTGCGGTATTTATTTAAAACAATTATTTCAAATGGAAGCGCGAGGAACCCTTTTACTTATGCTTTATAAATTCCACACGTGAAATGCATTGCTCCCTCTTCCACTTGCAGAAAATGTTGGAATAAATACAGAGAAGTTTGAATTTGGTCTACAGCCGGGGTTTTATGTGTTCTGCAAGCTCCATTTGATTCTTTCAGCACCTAACTGAATTATTCTGACGTGCAAGGAATCTCCGATTATTATCTTTGTGCAATTCTAGTGCACATAATCTCAGAAATTGAGGTAGATTTACTTATTCAAGGCATGTATTTTACACATTTTTGAATAAAAAAAAAAGATAATTTGAAGTCTGTCCACGAATAAAACAGGCCTTCTCAACAATAACAATTTATAAAAACCTTCCAGCTCTTTAAAATGCATTAAAAGTTAAATTTACTGACAGTGAAAGTAAAGTAATTTGTTGAACGCAGCTAAATTTGGGGAAATATTATTTTTTTTTATAAAGAAAACATGTTAGAAAAGCCAGGTGGTTCTTGTAGGTGGTGAGCACCAGGAGAATCTCAGCTCTTCATCTTGTAGTTACACAGGCTGACCAGAGGGTGGGGCCATTGCATTGCTTTGGAGAGGAGTTGCTGTGGGGCAGGTGCAATGCAAACAGAATCTGGGATGGGCAGCATGCAAAACCACATCTTTAATCCAATTTCAAGTTGCATCATCACATAATACGAAACTGCATGCTGAAAAAGAGGCAAATGTAAACGCAGACGGAAGCTAAAATTTAAACGACACATTTTATAGAGGCACATACCAGCCACAGATTCTTTCTGCGTTAATTATTAATGTCACATTACATGGGGGATGTGCTTGTCAAGCAAACACACACACACACACACACACACACACACACACACACACACTTACTTAAGGGTTATCTAAAGGTCTTTCACAGCCCATTTAGCAGGCTTGGCAAATGAGGCGCGCTGCCAGACAGACAAGGCTGTCCGAAAACGCAGCCTGGAGGTTTAGTTCCTATCTGCTAAACACTACCACTCATGCATATTAGATAGTGCTTGTGGTAGAGATTGCCCTTAATCACAGACAAAGAAACAACGTGAAACTCATTGCAGTACGAAAGAGACATTATCCTTGATTAGGGGCAATTTCTACCTTCCTATTTCCAGTAAAAGACGGGACAGGAGGTGTGGAGGAGCAGGAAAGAGAGGGAGGAGTAAAAAAGAAAAGAAAGGCAGAAGAAGCTGACCTAGAGGTCTTTTTCTGACCAAGGGAAAACTTGAGCAGTTTACTCTGAGAGCCATCCCTAGAGGAAAAGAAAAAGAGAGATATGGAAGAGGACAGAGAGGTCAGGTTTACAGTTATAAATGACAGGAGGTGTGAACAGGAGGATAGAGATGACAAAATGATGGATTAGAACAGCAGAAACAGCAAGAAAGTGAAGAATACGGTGACAAAACCCATTCACCCAGTTTCAAGGTTACGTTCCTTATATTTCCTGTTGCCAGAGACTCACCTGGACTGCATCTCGGCCTGTGCTGCTTTCTGGGCTGTAAGGGTGGGAGTCCCATACGTAGAGTGGCCGAGCTGGGCCGGGGCACTGCTCTGCTGGCTCAATGGAGGGTGTGTGCCCTGCGGCTGGGCGCTGGGTGGGAGAGAGGGCTGGCACTTCTGCCGCTGGGCGTGCTGCTGCTGCTGCTTGTAGCGGGACAAGCTGAAGAAGAGGCCGAGGATGGCTTTCAGATTACCATTCCGAATCTCTGTGGGTCAGGGAGAAGGACAATGTGGAATTTTAAAAAGGAAAAAAGCAGGTTAGGAGAAGGAGGAAAAAGGTAGATAAATCAAAAGTGGCAGATGAAAGCTGTAGAGCGATAAGTCACTTCAGCCGTGCAAAATGACAGCTGTAGTGCTGTTCTGTGCAAAGAAACTAAAGCTAATGTGCTTTTACTGGCTGTTATGGCCTTTTCAATATTGTTGTTTTATTATGATAATGACAAATTAATTTATCGCCCGCTTACTCCTATTTAGTGTAACAAAAAGTCTCATTAATACGTATGCACGCTAAGTTGGCAGTGAACTCCAAAGCTGACGAGTTTGTGACCAAAGAACGAATTGTACTTTTGACTTAAATGCTCACATTCAGCTTCAGCCCACTGCAGCCATACACAACAATGTCAAGTCATTCACTGCATGTTTTCAGTTTGATTCTACAGCCTTCTGGTCGTTTTCGGGGAATTGTTTACTTATTGTTTGCAAGACAATCTGACTTGCTAGCACCCTCATCTGGTGTTGAGGCAATTAAGTGAACAGAGTTTGAGTTGAAACGAGTACAAAGTTTTCTTGCAAAGCTGTATTCAACAGCAGCATGAAAACACAACAAATACAGTGTAATAGGCCGTCTACTGCTGGCTTTGGTTCTCTAATGTATCTGACTTGCATGTTCCTGGACTGCAAGTCTCCAGAAAATACTTGAGAACGTGTACTCTGAACCGAGAACTGACCCCACGTCTTTCTTGCCATTAGGGGACATTGCAGTCCACTGATTCACTGTTGTACTAAATGATAATACTAGTCGTGTTAATACCATTACTACCATAGTTCCTGGTGTGAATAATATGATGTAAACATTTAAGCCAACATCCATCTTTTTGTGAGGCAGGCTACATTTAAAGACTACATTATTGTGGTCTTTCTGGTACATTAGCCCCTGCTGAGCCTACATGTTTTAATGTGTACTGTCTGGCATTAATGTAGTGTGTCCACGCAAATGAGCTTGCCACTAAAAATGCTTCGTTCTTCATCTTTTTTTCCATAGCACAGGCCTGGCTTGGCCTGGCCTGGTCTGGTTTGGGTCTACCACTCTGGTTCCAGTGAAAGCAGAAGTGCAGGAGTCCACCTTACCCTCTGAAGACAGTCCCTGGATGTTGACTCCTTTGGCTGCCAGGAAACTGAGGCAGGCGTCGATGTTCTCAATCTGGACAGAGAGACACAGACACAGCTGTAAGACAACACACCCAGCGCATTTCCATTACGATTTGCATATTTGTATAATGTGTGGAAGCATGCTGGTCTGTCTTTTGCACGCTTCTCCTAATAGATAGATATCACCATGAAACCCTATTAGTTAAACCCTAGTCAACAGTAGTGTCTCCTCTCCACTTAACATCTTATTTTCAGACTCATACAAAGAGATTTGTAGGGATAGTGGTTTATACCAAATTCAATCAAAATCTGTTGACTAGTTTTTTGAGCTATCAAGCAAAACAAATGGTACCAAATTTGGCAGACATAAAACATACCAGTGTTGTAAAGTGACAGGAATGCTTTATATATAGTGACTGACTCGATCACATCCTGCTGTGCAAAGCTAACAATGCAATATTAGCCACATGGTGACATAGTCAAAACACGATTCAAACCAAGCAGACTTTTGTCAGCCGAGCACCAAGAGAGGCTAAACCATCTATACAGACACAGTGACAGCAGCCATGGCAACCTGAGCAGACTGCTGAGCTGTCACCGGACTGCGAGAGGATTTGATAGGCAGACGGGCTTTGTTTAGAGCCCATGTGACCCATTATACAGCGAATCTGCAGGGCTGGCCCACGTAATCACAAAGTAAACCAAATAAAACTATTCATCAAGCAGAGTCACTGCGGCTTAATGACGCGCGATCAAAGTTTACCAACTGTTGTTTTCGATGAGCAAACACACCAGGTACAGCACAAAAGACACAATATGGCACGGCCGACGCTCTGCCTGTAATCTGGTACTCTAGGCAAGGCAATTTACTGAAGAATAGACTGAAAAGGACATTTAAAAGCATTTTACAGTATGCACAAAGGTTAAAGAGGCACTACATCTTTTTTTGCATGACATTTATTACCAGTGGGAGTAAGTTTATAACACACTGAAGCTAATCTGCCACAATGTACTTACAACAAACCCGTTTTTTTAAAGTACAACATCTTAAATATAATCTCACAGCCAAGGGAGTACAGATATAGAGCTGTAACACTCCAGGTGGTTTCTAAACTAAAATACATATGAACTGTGTCGTCTGTAAAGGAGGCCGGGTGTGGGCTGCAACCGGGAGGGTCCCACTCACTAAAGATTAATGGCATGATTACACTTAATATGCGCTGACTAAATATAGCTTGACATACAGCTCTCTCTGTGACTCTCCGGTTAGGAAGTATCTGACTGTGAGGTGAGAAGCTGCAGTAAAAACTCATTTACATTCGCCTCTATTACAATACGTGAACATCTGAGTTAGATACGGACGTTCAAGACACAGACTAATGTTTCTAAATCCATTGTTACTACTTCTGTGGTGCTACACACATCTACACCCCCCACACTAGCTAGCTTATAATACATAACTAAAACTAATGCCAAAATGACTACTTATCAATAAAAATACAATCTTTCATTTACTAATCATTTGATTTGTGTGTTTTTATGCAAATAAATGACAATTGCAAAGTAAAAATATAGTATTTTGAATTTCTGGTTTACCAGGTGCTATAAGAAAACAAAACAACAACAAAAAAAGATATGCATCGGTCATTATGGCTCATCGACATTCAACTGACAGTAGTGATCGGGGCATCTCTAAAAGTTATATTTGCTCCCTTTTTTTCCTGCTGATCCGAGCAGTGACATTCAAGACCATATTTCCTCTACTCCGCTACATCTCAGAGGAAAATATAGCACTTTTTACCCAACATTTATTCAACACATAGTTACTAGTTACTTTGTACATATAAAAACACATGATATGCTTATATGCTATGATGCAATAATACTGTACTACTAATCTAGAAGTATCTACAATTGGCTCCACATTGACAAACCACAACATTAAAATGGTCTCACATGTATTCTTTAGTGATGAAAACAGAATAGCATCATTTTCTACAATAATATAAGAGCCATTCTGCATTATAAGTACTTCATATGTTAAGTACATGCTGATAATACTTCTGCAGTTCCACTTAAGTAACATTTTTAATTCAGGCCTTTCACTTGTAATGGAGTATTTAAAGACCATAGTATTCCTACTTTTACTTTAGTAAAGGATCTGATGACTTCTTCCACCACTGCCACGACCACATTACTTTTAGTTACTATTGTATTATAGTGATGACATCCACTAAAGTATTACTATTAGTCACCCTCGAGCAGACTACTAAATGTCCACAACCATATTTTCTATAATTTAAACCCATTACCACACTATCATAATATAATATACCACAATGCAATTAATTACACCCACTACCACATTACTATTAGCTATATATTTAAGACTCAAATGCTATTACCTCTATCCTCTACGACAAAATGTATACTTACACCTTTACCATATCAATTTTAGTTGCATATATGCTACATGTTAGTGTGTGAAGAGGCTGGCGGATTGAGTTGAAACAGCAGTGCTGCCCTTGCTGTCATGTCCGTGACCTCTCACCCCAGAAACAGCTGTTAGAATGGCTGACATATGTTGCCCTTCGAGGTGATACAGCAGAAAACGTGACAACAGTAGGAATGCAGAGTGTGACCCTCTCTCTGAATACCAACACTCTTTAAAAATAAACCTTTCTGAAATACCCCTGTATCCCCATCGACATACCCAGAGGCCTAAACTTCATTTGAGTGACTGAACCACTCCACTAATGGCCCAAATTCCCTGGTATAGTTGGGAGTTTAAATAGCAGCAGCCTGCGTTAAACATGCTTCATTAATAAGATACCCCATCACAAATGCCAGGCCCGCCCCTGCTGAGATGCTCCCAAGCCCCGCCTCCCAGGGGGTATACACACTGAAACCTCCTGCTGTTTAAAACATGCAAGGACCAGAACTCAGAGAAGCCAGAGGAACACTATTTAACTCAACAATCTAACACCAGCTACTGTACAGAACCTGTGTTTTAAATAGAAGACCAATCAACGGATCTATAATCTGTCGCTTAAGAAATCTGTTGTATATCACGATATAGGTTACTGTAAAAGTCAGATTACTGTGAGGAGTCTGGCCTTGAGGTTTAAGACGCTGTAGTAGGCTCATTTATCTTCTGTTCTCCACGAACTCAGTGTTCAGACTGATGGATGAATGAAAACACTCAAGAAAATGTAGTAGTAGTAGTAGAATGCTCAACATACACCAAGTATGCAGATACACACAAACAGTCAAGAGAATACTGAAGAGAATACACTCATCAGAACAAAAATACCTCGAAACAAGCCCCGAGAGAAATCAGCATCAAGCACTGAAGGACACCACTGGTAGCTCCTACCTGCTCGTGATCTGTGTGATCTGCTCTGCCAGGCCTCACACCTCCATCCAGGCCGCCGTCACCTCCTGCTCTGCTCTGCTCTGCTCCGGCAGCAGCGTGGGGCGGTCTGGCCAGCCAACAACCTCTGAACAAACACTTCTTCCCATCACAGGGATGCTATTGTTGTATGTGTGTGATTGTGTGCGCGTGTGTGTGTGTGTGTGAGAAACACAGAGAGAGAGAGAGAGAGAGAGAGAGAGAGAGAGAGAGAGAGAGAGA